CCCCAAAACCCCAAAACCCCAAAACCCCTTTGGCTTGTTGTTTTATTGGAAAATAAGGATTATTAGAAGTTACTCATAACTAATCGTTATTAGAATTCTTCTTAAGAGATGTACTATTTTTACACCTTGAAAAGGGGTTCCTTCAAAGGTTAGATTAGGCTAAGATGAAATTAGAAAACCCAGCAGCAGCAATGGGACTTCCGTCTTTTGCCCATTTTCTTAAAGCTCTTTGTTCTTGGAGTGGTACAACTTCTAAACTGAGGATTTTTCTGTGTTGGGTCAAATAAAATTCTTCCTCTAATGCCTATAAATATGGATTAATGATTCTGTATTCTTAGGAAATTTTATACATAAAGAAGTTTATATCCCATCACCAGAAATTTTGAAATGGACATACGTGAACGAATATCTCCAGAAAGAACAATGTTGTGGCTATTTAACAATCTTCCTAGGCAGGCTCTTCCTGAGTTCAGAGAGAGTTCTCTGCTTGGGGAGGTCTCTTTTAGTATTAACTTCTAGACTCCTTCTTTTGGTCGATTTCAAATCTTTTTGAAATTTTTCAAGCAAGCCTTGTATCCTCTCATCATTGCTGGATTTTATATTCTTCTTCTAAAGTATGATCAACAGATAATGTACTGTAAGCGGCTTGGTTAGTTTCAGCTCTATTGGTTGACTAAACTTCCTCCTATCCAATTTAGTAGAAATGACAGTAGGAGAAGACCCATTTTTGGAAAACGTGAACCCGCTTGTAGCAGTACTCTTATCGATTGCGCTTGAAGCAACTATTTTATAAAATGTGAGATCCACTGGTTCAGGTTATAATCGAAATATTTATGAGAATAAGTTCATAATGCCCTTATTTCGCTCTTAATGATAAATTCCTTACCTTTGTTTAAATATTTCCCAAAGACTCCGTGATCATTAAGCTTGAAGACTGATCTATATTTAATAAATTCACCTGTAATTTCCCAGAAGGAAACCTGGTAATAATTTCTGAAAAGTGTCTAAGAACAATTCTTCATTTTCTAAGAATCAATTATAATCCTATTTTAGCAAATACTATGCGAGGGGATTCTAAATTCTCTTAGTGGAGCTATCTGGCCACTTCTTTTACCCCAAATTGGCATTATTTACTACAGATGTGTCTCCTAAGACAATGGCTTACTCGTAACGAGGAGAGGGTACAGGAGGCCTCGTAAACTTTTTACTCATCTTAGTACCTATATTCATATTTTGTTCAATATTATAAATATTTATTGGGGTTTTGGGGTTTTGGGGTTTTGGGGTTTTGGGGTTTTGGGG